ACATGCGCCGCTCCGCTACTCTTAACGCTCGCCTCGTGCGCTTCTTGTACTTCTACGGCTGGACCACCGTTCTGTTCCTCTCGATGCTGTTCGCCTCCATAAAGCCGTTGTGGATCGCAGAGAGTACCAGCGCTTTGATGCGCATGGCCGGAGACTCGGTGAGCGCCAGACATATGACTGCATCGGTCAACACGATTGGGAATAGGGTATTTCACCCAGTTTAAACCGGATCCAAAGAAGAACAGTAATGCTTCCCGAACTGTTTCCTACCTGACGCTCATTGGCTGATGCGGACGAAGTTCGTGGACCCGCCACTAGGTCTGCCACTGCCCTAGTGACGAGTCCGAGAACTTCGTCCGCGTCAGCCGATGAGCGTCATGGAGGAAACAGTTCGGGAAGCATTACTGTTCTTCTTTGGATCCGGTTGAAACTGGGTGAAATGCCCTATTCGGAAACATTCTGAGAGCGGCAGGCGGCAGGTGCGAGAGCGATGCTCGACCCGGCGATACAGCTCCATCTCACATCTCACGACATGTTGCTTTGGTGCACCCATACACCCTTATCATGGCATGAGGTCAGTATTCTACTTTCTTCGGCTATTAGCTAGGTTACGTTGTCCACCATACTAATCAGGTTGGATTGTCATTTTGTTGTTAGTTATGTCGGTCACGTCCGCATGCCATATTCGTTTTATTAGAATTGTTAATAAATTGAACAAATCGATCACCAGCCATTTTAATTAATGCTTCATGGAACCATCTCGAACAGTACTTAACAGTCCCCAGTACAATCTAGACGTGTCTCTGCCCTCTTCAGTTTCTTTCAACGTGGAGCACAAACACTAACGACCATGTTGCACTGCCTTAGTGCGATTAGTATGGGGAATGTTGACAGCTTGTGAGGGCGAAACTGCTCAACATACTTGGCATTACTGTCCCACAGGACGTTAACAGATTATCACTCGAGTTGCCCTTGCGGCTGGCCTGGATGTCCGTGCTGTCCTGGATGCTTGGCGTGTGGGTCATTTCGTACCTCAGTCTCTGCGGCTTCCTGATCTTCATCTACGCGGCATGTGCCGACCTCTGCGACGCCATCGGCCGCAGCGTCGAGGTGGGGCTTCGTAGGGCCCAAAGGGTACGGGAGTTCAGCGCGAAACCGAACGCTGTGAACCGGCTGAATTCCTTTAACGTCAAAGTATTGGGTCCTTGAGGAACGTCAAATGAGGAACGTTGGCGTTCAAAGGCGCCAAACGCCCAACAGGCTCGAGGAGTTAGCGTTCTTTAGAAACACTCTGGCCCTAGGAAAGGGGTGCACTTGGGCAAGAGCCTTCTCATAATTCAGGCATTCCACTTTTGGAGTTCTGGCGGTTAGCCTTCTATGAGAAATGTACGGTGCGCCTTGGGAACGCTTCACAGTAAACTAAATATTCTGCGTCGCCTGAGAGTGAAAACTAATATGTCTTCATTTGTCAGACAAATTTAGACATCGAACAATGTTAAACCGTCAAACCATTAAATCCACTGGCAAAACGTGTGTTTATTTTTGCACGTCATCAAAGCATTCCAGTAGAGCTGAAATGCAGAAGAATGCGGGGAAGAAGAAAACGGACATCACTATGCTTCAACATGGTGACTTCCGTTTTCTTGTTCCCCGCATTCTTCTACATTTCACACTGTTATTAAAAACCTGTGACGTTACACTCTAATTGTCAATGGACAATTTTTGTCCATTGTAAGAAGCATCTGAGAGCGCATCTTGCAAAATTCAATTTTGAAGCATGCGTAGTGACAATATTGCATCTTCAGTTGGACAAAATAAAAATTTGAAGATACCAATTTGTCACTTCTCCAGATTCAAAATTGTATCTTGCAAGATGCGCTCTCAGATGCATCTTGCAATGGTCAAATATTGTCCTTTGACATTAGGAGTGCACATTCTATATAAAGGGAATTGTGTCACATTATTTAGAACATCATGATTCGTTTTAACGTGACATAGGTACGCCTATCATGCAGTGAGCCCGTGGGCGTGGAGGAAGAGCGATGTAGGGATATGTCACGTTCTAAGGAATGTGACATGATATTCTATAGAATGTGACACAATTCACATCAAATATAATGTGACGTCACAGTATTTGAATACGGTGCAGCTTCACCGGAATGCTTTGTTGATGTTTAAGTTCAAGTGTGCATTTTCTAGACACATTGGGGTGTCCAATTGGGTTATACGTCAATTGCTGTTTAAACTTTCGACACTTCCAAAAAGTATAGCAGCAGCACACCACATGGTTCCGCTTGATAGCATAGAACTGGTTGTGTCCAAGTGTGCAAAATATAAACGTTCACAAAACGTTTAACATTTGCACACCACACAAGTAAGCAACTTGAGTTAAACACCATGTAATGTGCAAAATCATTACTTGCAGCGGGTATGCAAATTTTGCACACTTGTTTTACCAGTGTACGACCGACTGTGGAACTGACAGACCACCGTTCGCCTTTGCTTCTTCCGTCTGTTCCTTCTTTCCGCTTTACGGGAATGGTCTATTTTTTCACGGTACGTAGTGTTTGTTAAGATGTCCTAAATTCGAATGTGACGGCACTGCGCGTTTCGATAAGTAAGGAAATCGGGACCGGACCGGAAGTAGTGCGTAGAGTCTGACTCTTTCCTCTCGTTTGACTGTTCTGTTTGACGTAAATGACCTCGAGTACGTCCTTAGTATCTTTCAAGGTTTAGTTCAACTGGTTCTGGGCTTTATTTTGGAACTAATTATGGTGGTGATTTCCTTAATTCTACTCTCTGAACAGGGTGGCTCGCGAAGCTGGCCCTCCCCGCTGCGTGACCTTCTGGACGTGCTGTTGCACTTGGAGGACACCTTCGCGGATGTTCTGCCGCACTTCCTCGTGGTCAGCGTCGCACTGCCGGTTTTGAGCACCGTAGAGGTCGGCACCACCATGTAATTGCTATAGGCCAGGTGACTGGTCACCGACACCCTCTAATATTCACACTTAAGGAGTCCGCTCCGCCAGGTTGTCGTCAAAGGGGCACAGGCCGACGCGTTTGCCTTTCTGAACGCCCCACTGATCTTCGGTGTGTTCGTCCCAATGTGCATGGTCGGCGACAAGCTGTCCGCAGCTCGCTTTGGGCTGTCAAGGAACGCTTTTCGCGGACCGTGGCTCGAGGTGACTATGTCTCCCTTGCTATGTAAGAAGAAGAAAAGAATATGGAGGCGTAGTGTAGCACGGTCTCACAACAAAGCAACATAACCAGATTATTTTCCAATATCTTCCCAACTAGGGTGTTGTGGACGGTCTCATTTCACAAATTCCTGTTAATAATAGTACCCACGGTACAGCTGTGAGCCTGCGCTACGTTACGGAGCAAGGAAGGTCATCGCGGGGCTGATGTCTTCCAATGTAAAAACTGAAACCTTTTGTTCCGCGTTCCGGATGTTTACATACTAATTATGCTTGTTGTACTGCGGCGCAGGAGGACCAACAGCAGAAGAAGATGCTTCTGGCCCTCATGCAGATCGCGGATGGCCGCGGCGGCCAAATACGCGGCACCGGCATCGGGCGCTTGAACAGGAGCGCCTGCACAAACGCTATGAAGTCCTGGTTCAGCTGTCTTCAGGTGCTCATTAACGTGCAGTGGCAGAGCGCAGCGACGGTGAAATGATTTGGAGGAGCCCCCTTCAACATGTGAGCTGAACCTGCTGCATGCGCGTCTCAGAAAAGGCGTTACGTACGGACGTTCGGACGCTAATATCGGGCGTTTTTTTTTTCGGTTATGAAAGGTTTGCCTTTGGGCATTTGAAATGCTATCTGATGATGAACACTCAGACTGTTGAACAGGACTGCCATTCTGTGTACACATCGCGTGTTTTCCATTCTGTATTTTCCTTGTATTTCTTTGTATTGTAAAACGGAAGTCACGTCACTGCGGCAAAGTTATCTCAATTTTCTTCTCCTCTACATTCTTCTGTATTTCAGCTCCGCCAGAAGGCTTTATTTAAGA